CTTCTTCCTGTCTCTCTCTCTTGGATTTTCTGCCTGGCTATAACCTGACTCGCCATAGGCCACAGCAGCTTCTTTATTAACCGGTCATAGCAACACATATTCACAGCGTACAGAAAGATATCCCACAGCACCAGCATGTGCTGGTTTGTCGACTTTAGCTAGCCACCTTGCTCTAAAGATTCCCTGTTTATCTCCTGAGACTTGGGATTCCAAGGGGGTTGTCTTTTTTAAAAATATTATTTAATTAACATTTTTTCATTTATTTTATGAACTGACCACAGTTTCTCCTTCCTCCTCTCCTCCCATTCCCTCCCCTACCTCCCATCTACCCACTTCCCCATCCACTCCTCCTCCATCTCCATTCAGAAAGGGGCAGGCCTCCCATGGGCTTGAACAAAGCATGGCACATCAAGTTGAGGCAGGACCAAGCCCCTCCCCCTACATAAAGGCTGGGCAAGGTAATCCAGCATGGAGAACAGGTTTCCAAAAGCCAACTAAGTGCCAGGGACAGGTCCTGATCTCACTGAGAAGAGCCTTAAAAGAGACCAAGCTGCTGTGGGGTGTTCTGTATGTGCTGTGGGAGCCCGTTCTTGGGTTCCTCGTGGCTTACCCAGCAGGTCCGCATAGAGGATGATTAGGACCACGGGCCTGAGTGCAGGTGTCTGAGATGGTCTGCTGTGCTGGGGGATGGTCTGTATGGCAAATGTGTTGCTCTGATTGGTCAATAAATAAAACCTGATTGGCCCGTGGCTAGGCAGGAAGTATAGGCGGGACTAACAGAGAGGAGAAATAAAAGAACAGGAAGGCAGAAGGACTCACTGCCTGGAGCAGCCGCCATGACAAGGAAGATGTAAAGTACCGGTAAGCCATGAGCCGCGTGGCAAGGTATAGATTTATAGAAAATGACTAATTTAAGATATAAGAACAGTTAGCAAGAAACCTGCCACAGCCATACAGTTTGTAAGCAATATAAGTCTCTGTGTTTACTTGGTTGGGTCTGAGTGGCTGTGGGACTGGCGGGTGAGAGAGATTTGTCCTGACTGTGGGCCAGGCAGGAAAACTCTAGCTACACCAAGCTACATAACTGTCACAAACATGCAGAGGGCCTAAGTCGGTCCCATGCAGCTTCCCAAACTGTTGGTCCAGAGTCCATGAGCTCCCTGAGCTCAGATCATTGTCCCTGTGGGTTCCCCTGTCATGACCTTGACCTCCATGTCACATACAATCCCTCCTCCCTCTCTTCAACTGGACTCCCAGATCTCGGTCCAGTGCTTGGCTGTGGGTCTCTGCATCTGCTTCCTTCAGTTACTGGGTAAAGGCTCTCCGATGACAATTAGAGTCTTCACCAATCTGATTACAGGAGAAGGTCAGATCAGGTACCCTCTCCACTATTGCTGGGCATCCTTGTGGATTCCTGGGAGTTTCCCGGGCACCAGGTTTCTCCCTAACCCTAAAATAGCCTCAAGGGGGCCGTCTTAGTCAGGGTTTCTTTCTTTTTTTTTTTTTTT